CGATTGATTGACTCCAAGCGTGAACACACTCCCGAGAGAGTCGACAGGCGCCCAAGATTTCAGGCGCTGGTAGACTATAAGCCTTCCGGTAAATGGCTGCAGGTAAGCCCCAATCATGCCAAACCCAGCTGGAAGCGGGCTACGTGGCATCCGCGAGCGCTCCTCATAAAATCTCCCCAACTCGCGAACGACTCCCCGTATCTCCTCTGGCAGTGAGTCCAAAGGAGCTGAAGCTGAGGTCTTCTGGTTGCCATCGGATGGAAGTATCTCTGCCGCTCTACGCTCATGAAAGCAGGGATCGACAATGGCAACCAAGGGAGATGTATTATTATAGCAACCAGAGTAACAGTCAGCTTCAAGAGGGCATTCTAGAGCATGATGAGACGCATGGTACTCTAGGTGCTTGATAAGGCTCTTGACTTCTTCGGCCCAATTCATCCCAGCGAGTGGAGCCAGCCAGACGGCGCGGATGTATATGGTCCACGGCGGGGCAATCGGATCGCCGCAATCCTCAACGTAGTTGTACACAAAGTGTAGTACGCAGCCTTGTCCACCGGAAACGCTAATGCCGTTGATAAAAAGTGCCACAAACGGAATTCAGAAAGGGGAGGGGCTTGGCGGGGCACGGAATAACTTCCTGGGAGGCTTACACCGATGTTACATCCGTGAGGTGCCCTCACAAAGCCCTCTGATTCATCTGAGTATTTCGGTGTAAATCCAACAACATCAGACGAGCCAGCCAGGTGCGGTCCAAACGCAATTCTCGATCTCGCAGCGAGATTCTCGCTAATTCTTGCTCGCTATGGCAACTCCATAGCGGGGCATTCTGCCCACTGGTGAAGCCAGGGGCTAATGCCGCCGATTGTGTATGCCGATCATGCATCTCGAGAACTTTGCCATCAGTCGCCGATCTTATCACGGGACTCGGCACCTGGCGATGGGGAGCGAGAGCCAATTCGATCTCGTCGCAGTGGAGCTCTTTCCTCACTCGCATAGTCCGAGCTAGCTGGCTTCCCTCTCCTGGAGGGATATCGTCCGCGCATGAGAAGTATTTCTCCAGAAAAGAGCGTACACTAGGGAGCTGTAGATACTCTTCAAGGTTCTTGTCGAGCGTTGGCAGGCTGAGAACTCCGCATAGAGCTTTATCGTTGAAGAGCATATTCGGAGGACTTCGAGAAAATTCAACTACACGAGTTGAAAAGTGAGGAAAATGACTGCATAGATTTGCGAGATTAAGGCTATAGAGCAGTTTCCTGCAAGCTACCACTGCCAGACGCGAACAGATACAACAGGAAAAAAGCTGCTCTAAAGTAGTGGGTTTGAGACCTAATAGGGCCAATAGTTGATAAGGTTTACTAATTAGTGCATCGATATAAACCTCGTCGTAGTTTACACGACAATAGCTCTCAGCATTCACCATTTAGTTTTTTTGATATGCCATAATCAGTCGCGGATAGCGCGGCGCTTCGTTTTGCGTTCGTTTTGGAGAGTACAACGCACTGCGCATTGAAGCCTCCGAGATTTCACTGAAATCATTTCAGTACAACTACTTTCTGAGCCCGAGGATGTCAATGCATCTCCATCGTGGTTACTAATTCCGTTTACACCCAGCACGAGCCGCAGAAAATCCAACGCAGCTTTTGAGAGAATCCTAGATCTCGTCAGGCTTATGTTCCACGCTAGCAATGCCGCATCGCTGACAGTCGATACCCACTCCTTGTTCTTCTTTTTACTGGTTGCAGGAGCTTCTGGATCGAGTAGTGCCACTACTCGAAGGGAAGTAACTTACTTCCCTGATATAG